AAGGAGGAAGAGAGTGGCGAGTCCAGTAAAGAGAGTGATGAAGATATGCGTACAGAGGAGGATGAGGACGAGGGAGAACTAAAGCGAGCGAAGAGAGATGCTGTTAGCGCGTACAGTCAGTTGCCAGCTAATCTGAAGTCGAGTTCGGTGCAGATTAGCTCAGCGGAGGATTTGCTGTCGAGTATGGACGACATCATCAAGAATGAAGAGGAGGTGGATGAAGCCACGCAGCGAGGAGATACTACTACACAGGTGAAGTCGGAACCAGTATCAGTACCGCAAGTGTCGAGACCCGATGAGAAGAAGGCGAGGGCCGAACAAACTGCCCCACCAAAACCAAAACCAGCGAAGCCAACACCAGTGGACGAGACGATGGACTCGGAAGAGGAAGATATCCTTGACATGTTGTCCTAATTCCTCAATGATCTAAATTTTGCCAAAGCAGTTTAATTCAATGAATCCTTTTTATTCCAGATACGCATTCAGTTTGAGTCTGAATTTTTTTTTTAGTCTCTGAATTAGAACTCGGCCCCGCTTGGCTCCCAATGGGGGTCCCCACATATTGTCCTGTAAGAAAACCTGTTGAAGCACAGGAGTAGCGGCAAATTCAAAAATCCTGGACAGCACGTGTGCATCGAAATTTCACCTCGAAGACGTTGTTTCTGCTTCTTTACGCTCCCTCTTGCAACGAGACTCGATACTCGCATGAGGTAAAAATACGCTTAGAAAAGCGACTTTAGCTTCTACTGAGAGCTTCAACGCTCGGTTAATAGGAGTCAGATGATGTGCCCTGAAGACGGTCATGGTCCGAGCATTAAAGCGATGTCGACAGATTCGATATTGTGGTTCAACGTCAGCATACGTAACAGTGCATCCGCATCGGCGTCCGTAGCTTCACCACCATGATAAATGAATATCCCTAGGTAGATACAAAATCGACGAGTACACTTGGCGATAGGATTGCTTTCGTCGCTTAAAGCTGCCAGTATCCCTGTACATCATCCCAGCTGCAGTCGCCCAACGCAGGTAGTGGCT